AATCCTACAAACTGGGCAAATGGACTGTGTCTCTTCCAGCTGCCATGTTGTGATTTCACCCCAGTGCCTCCATGCCTGCAGCCGCTCCCTGCACCACCTCAGCGAGCCGATGAGGCAGCCACGCGGGAGCCTCTTCCAGGGTGGGATTTTAAAGATATCTTTAGAAGTGATTTTCAATCCTAAGTCATGGAGATTTGAGTTGCTCTTTCAAAAGTGAGGACATGTCCCGCCTCTCTTCTCTATTTATTCTTACTCCCAGGATTTCACCAACGTTTAAACGCCATCTGGATGCCAACGTCTTCCACATTTATATCTCCAGTTCTCCCTCCTGAAATCTAGACTCATATATCCAACTGCCTACTCCACACCTCTTCGTGGGTACCTTATAAACATCTCAAGCTGAACATGTTCAAAACTTCTGATTTCCTCCCCACCCACGAATATGCTTCATCCACAGTCTCCCCATCTCAGTGGATGAAAATGTCTTCCTTGCAGTTGCTCAGGTTAAAAGCCTTACAGTCATCCCTCACTCCCCTCTTTCTCTCACATAAAACATCATACATATTATCAGATATATCAGTACACTTCTTGGCTTCTTTTTTTTTTTTTGAGACAGAGTCTTGCTTTGTTGCCCAGGCTGTAGTACAATGGTGTGATCTCAGCTCACTGCAACCTCCGCCTCCCAGGTTCAAGTGATTCTGCTGCCTCAGCCTCCGGAGTAGCTGGAATTATAGGCGTGTGCCACTATGCCCAGCTACTTTTTGTATTTTTAGTAGAGGTGGGGTCTCACCATCTCTACTGACCTGACCTGACCTGATGGGGTCAGGCTGGTCTTGAACTCCTGACCTCGTGATCCCCCTGCCTCGGCCTCCCAAAATGCTCAGATTACAGGTGTGAGCCACTGTGCCTGGTCTCCTGGGTTTTTCTTTAAAATATACCCAATTATTTCTCACTGTCTCCCTGCCAATCCCCATCAGCCTGGTCATGGTGAGTGCCATCGTCTCATCATTTGGGTTGCTGCAATCCTCTTCTATTGTTGACTCTGCCCCTTGTAGTCTATTCTCAACCAAGCATTGAGGCAATCCTTTTGTCAGCAGATTATGTCACTCTGCTTAAACTCCTAGATTGGCTTTTTGTTACAATGACCTTCAAAGGGCAGATTTGCAGAAGACCGATCCCTTCTAGAATTAATCTCTGTGCCTTCTCTGGTAACTATGGCAATAATGGCAATGTCACTGTGTCCCTCTGAATGACTGATTTCCACTGGAGGTACCATGTTCAGGGCCAGGCAGGAGTTGGAGAGAGCTTAGGTCAGGATGGACTTGAACTGCCAAAGTTCCCATCAGTTCTGTGGTTAGTATATGTCCCTTTCAAGTGGAGGCACATGCAAACAGCAAAAAGATGCTTCTTCAAACTGAACCAAAGTTGGAATTAAGAGAAACATGCTAATAAGTTTCATGGAATGTGAAAGTATCTTCACTGCAATTAGTTTTAAGACCCTGGACCTAAGCTTTCCTTCCTCCTTAGGGAGAAAGCATGATAGGAAGGAAAAGCAGAGGAAACAGTACCCAGGAAGACCCGTATTTGGATCCTTGCTCTTCCACCATGGAAGAATAGAGTATTTTTCAGGAAATGTTCACTTCTTCCTCATCTTCATCTCCTTGGGAGGATTTTCATGTTGAGCTTGGCCATATGGCTTGCTTTGGCTTGTGGAAGTGGACAGAGTGAATGTGTGAGTTTCATGACTAGGCCTTAAGTCACATCACTTATTTCTTCCCTCTACCATGAGAACTACTTGCCCTGGATATCATCTCGATCCTAGAAAAATGAGAGCCATGTGGAGCTGAGCTGCTTCAGCTCACTCGCAGACCTGTAACTGGAAGCAGAGCCACCCCTACCAACCCACAGAGACAGCAATAAGAAATCAGTGCTTATCATTGAATGCTTGTTTATTATGCAGAAGTTGCTGACTGATACAGCCATTAAATGTGTGTCATTGGTCAAATGACTTCACCTCTTGAAGCCTTGATTTTTCCCGTCTGTAAACTAGGGATGGCAATCATACCACTCTGAAGGACTTCATTAGCACTAGGTAAGGGGCCTGCATGTAAAGCATAGACCTTGGTATATGGAAAGTGCTCAGTGAGCATCATCTCCATAATCCTGTGGCTCAGCACCTTGCAGAGTGGATACTACATCTAAATGAGCAGAGCAAATTGAAGCTATGCTGGTGTGAAGTTCTGGGTAGCAGCAGTAGAAAGGGCAGGGGTGGATGTTAGGTGTCCCTCAGTAGCATGGTAGAAATGGTGGGGTGGGGGGTTGATTTCTGTCTCTCACACACTTAGAAGGACAGAAGCAGGATACCCTGATGGGGCCGCCTGAGTTGTCTTCATCGTAACCTGAATTTATGGGCCAGTGCTGGCCTAACCTGCTGCCTGTTGGAGAGCCTCGGGAGAGACTTCCAGTCTTGTGTTTCCCACCCACTGGCTGTGTTCTAGTGAATGACTCCTGTTCCAGACTCCCCTGCCTGCCACTGGGCCAACTTTCTGGCTGCCGTAGGGACAAAAGAGAGCTGTGGTTTTCTGCTGTGCAAATCAATCCTTTCTGCCACAGTGTCCTGGGCAAAGCAGTGTTGAGGTCATTCCCATGAATCGGCCATCATTATTCCTGCAGTGCTGCTCCCTTCAGGTATGTGACAAAGGTCACTACAGAGGACACCTCCATTACTCCCTGCTGGATTATAGGAGCTCAAAATTCCTGTTATTAGGGGGCCTAAATCAACTACCTTTCCCCATGCAGGCCAGGATCTCTTTATCTTGCTTTGGTTCCCCTTTCTTTTCCCTGGGCCCTGAGAGGTATAGAGTATGGGGATCACAAGCGGGGGTGCTCCTGCTGTCTTCTATTTGTATTTTTAGGAATGTGTCTTCAGAGGTGGTAAGGGTGTTTAAATGTCTGCCTGCCTTCTGCATAAACACCTTAACATGGCTCAAGATCTGGCTCCAGAACATCTTTCTTGCCACTCCCTCTGCCCCGTCACAGCTCCTGAAAGAGGCCATTCACCCTTCTATTCACCCAGGCCATCACCAGTGCTTATTGGGTGTGCCTCGTCTTAGGCACTGAGACGAAGAGCTGATGAAGACAGAGTTCCTCCCTCTGAACTCTTCGCTGGCCTTCAGTACTCTCCAGGTTTTGTGCACGTAGCTCTCCACACTTGGAATGCTTTTCCTTCCCTCCCTCCCTTTCTTCCTTTCCTTCCTTCCATCCGTCTTTCCCTTCTTCCCTGCCTCCCCTTCCACTCCCTCCCCACTCTTGCTCCTCCCTTGGTGGCCCAAGCCACATCATTTAATATTAATCAGACCAGTGCTGGGGGCGGGATGGTGGGGTGGGGAGGAAAGTCCCTCTAATGATTTACTCTGCAACTGGCAATCTGTTAGACTGTGTGTTGGGGCTTAATGTGTGATTTCATGCATTTTCACGGTCTCTAAATTGCAAATCCAAGATTATTTGAAAACATTTTATTTAATTTTCATGCTTTTTTAATCAAAAAAGTTAAAAGAATAATAATCTTTTATGGGCAGTTATAAATGTGCTATTTACACACAAGACAGAAATATCTCCCTTAGCTGAGCAATCTAAGTGTGTGCTTAGAGAGGACTCCATAAGAATACTAATGAGAAAAGGCAGAATATGCTTGGAGACAACTTAATTCATTCTTCTGGGAAATGTCTATCTAGGTGGAGTGGGATTCTCCAGGTTCATTCCTCAGCCCTACCAGCCTCCCAGCCTCTGCAGATGGGAGGGACTTGGCGGTGAGCACCTGGTAGTTGTAGGGCTGCTGTCTGGGCCATCTTTCCATCCCTGGAGCCTCGCTTGGTGTCTGTCATGTGGAAGGCATGCAGGAAATGTGTGTCGGATAAGTGAGTAAACGGCTGAGTGAAGGATTCTCCATACTCTCCCTTGGCAGTCCAAGATGAGATCTGTACACATTCTTTCTTTTTTTTTTCTTTTTTTTTTTTTTCACATTGCCATTGGAGATAGAAGCAGCAGACACAGCTGAGCTCCTGGCTTGGTGAAGGGCACACCAAGGGGATGTGGGGTGCTGGGATGTTTGCCAACTGTTTTTCACTTTTGTGAGAATCATTATTTACCTATTGCTTGATTCAGAATCCCAGACCTAGAAGGACTTTAGAAACTTGAAGTTCAGCTTTTTTACTTTACAAGATGAATGACAGTCAAAGTGAGGAAACTCCTTGATAAAGGACAAAGCCAAGACTTGAATCCCAGTATCCTGCTCACTCCTAACTAGGTAGAGACAATCTTTTTATCCTCATATTATTTCTTTCATCTATTGGTGTGTGCTATCTCACCCAACTTTTCCCAAATCCTGTACCTTCTGGGATTGCTGGGGATGACAGCAGCATCTTTTTCCTTCCTCCTTCAACTTTGCACTATTCTCTCTTCTGTGTAAGGAATCTGGGGATAAAACACTCTGGAAACCCAAGGAAACTGGACAAAGTCCTCTACATCCATGGGCCACACATGTGGATAAAGAGAGATGCCATCCTGTCTCTGCCTGGAAAGGAGACCCAGCCACACACACAGAACTGGTCTAGCTGAGGACTTCTGTAAGTGTTGCGATCAGATCCATAGTACCTGATGAGTGCTTTCTCAATCCCATAATTGGCAAAGCCCCAACTGTGGCCAGCTGACATGGTGGAACGTATCAGCCAGCAGAGTCCCCTGGCTCATTACCAATCTGTGGGATAAAGATGACCACCATAACCATAATCATTATCGCCTTAGGCATGGATGACTAGGGACTTCTGCTTGAAATGAGCTGCTTCTTAGCCAAACCCTACTCTCCAGAGTGACTTTCAACAGAATTGCAGGATCATGAAACTGAAAAGGGCCCATGGAGATCATCAGTTCTGGCTTCCTGCCTTCAGGCAGGTCTAACCTTTATAGAATAGTTGCTGTAGAGGAAATTGAACAAAACTTACTTTTATATGTTATTCTTGTGATAGTATCTCTGTTGAGCATTCGATTAAGAAATGGATTTGATGAATCAGAAACCTGGAGGAGAAAAGAAAATATTAATGACTGGCCATCACTCTTGCAGGACAAACATCTCCCCGTGGCATTCACTTATTCATTCATAGTTACCGAGTACCTACCATGAGCCAAACACAATGACAGCTGGAAATTCAGAGAGCAAAGCCAGAGTCCCTACTCTCAAGGACAGCCCAGTCTAGAGAGGAAGACAGGTAAGTGAACAAACCACTCTCATATAGTGTGGAGAGTGCCATGATTGATTCATTGGTGTAATGATGTTGGAGGAAGACCAGCCACCACCTGAGAATTTAAGTCATGCATCTGGGAGGGTGGGTAGAAGTTAACAAAGTGTTGTGGTGATAGAGTGTGAAAAGGGATGAAAGGCAAGGAAAAGCATTTCATACGGAGAAATCTGTACATACACGGACACGGGGAAGTGAGAACTAGGCATGCTCATGCAACGACTTCAGTGTACTTGGAGCTGAGAGTGTGGGGAAGAAGAGGAGGTGATCCTAGAAAGATTGGCAGGGGCCAGATGATGTCAGGCTTTTAAGCAAGGTAGGGACTGGCATGTTAGGAAGGGGAAATTCATCTAGGTAGAGAGTGAGACATAAAGAATACCCAGAATAGAGGTATAAAGAAATGGGAAAAAAAACTGAAAAGTAGTATAGGATCTTGGTATATCACTGCTCATTATTGCATGAATTGAGTACGTCATAAGCCATGTAATTCAATCCATCCATCCATCCAACAAATATTTGCAGAGGGTCTATCATGGGTCAAACATTGTACCAGATGTTCAGGGATCCGTTCCCATTTTATGCGTATGCCCTTATAGCTTCAAATTCCTCCTTTGGGAGAAGAAACCAGGTTTTCAGGGGCTTCAGTAGGGAACTATCATTGATGAGACTGTGATGTGGCCCTACATGAGAAAAGGGTTTTCTTAACAACATTTGTTTACTCAGCCTTTTCTGGGGTACCATTGTTCATCCTAGTCATTTCTCTCCTACCTTGCTTAGCTCTGCTCTGTAATTTATGCCTCAGCGGCTAATCGGATGTTGTGACACATCAACATTTTAAATCTGATTTATCTGAGGGTTGGAAAAATTGCAGCAGATGATTATTATTATTAGATAAGCAACAGGTAATTTTAGCTTAGAGAAAGCACAGACTGTTTATTTTCCCACCATCTGTCTCTCTTTTTGCAGTTTCCTGGCTGTGTTGTGGTGAGACACACACCAAAGGGAGCTTGGTGAGTGACAACACCCAATGGAGGTAAAAGTCCACCCCTAAATAGAAAAAGTCCCAAATTAAATACTGTTGCTCCCCTCAGTGCTATATTCAACATCTACTTTGACATCCTCTTCAGTCATTTAAAAGATAGCTTGAAACCTGCTCCTGGTGCTGATGCACCCCATGAAAGAAAGATGGCTAGGAATATATTGTCGTGGCAGGTAAGGGATCTGTTATGTACCTTACTCCCTGGGTGCCTTGAGCTCCTGGTACCTGGTGAGTCTGGGCAGCTCTTATGTTGGGACCAGACTGTTTTGAGCTGATTAAAAATAATTGAAAAATTTCCAAAGTGCACACAGATGATTTGTGGGCTCTAGTGTGTTGGCTGCGTGGGTGAGAGGATAAAATATGTACTTGGTATAAGTGAGCTTAAGTGGGAAGTTAATGGTGTGTGATTGAGCAGCAATTACAGCCAAATCTCAGTTCCCTGTGGTCACAGCAAGGGTGGGAGATTTGTGGAGGACACAGATAAATAAAACAGATAAGCAAGTATCTCCTTTTAGACAGTAACTCCAACTTTTTTATGGCTCAGCTTTTAGCCAGGGTGATAACTCTAGGGCTAAACTACCAGGATGTGGGGCTTGTCATATCCCATTCCTGCCCACCCTGCTGGAAAGGGAGGGGCAGAGAGTTCAGAAGGAGGGGAGGACAACTACAAGAAGCTGTGAACCCTTAGGGACCAAGAGCTTTGTTCGTCTTACTTCTGGGTACCAGTGCCTAGCAGAGGGCTGGCCTGTAGTACCCCACGCTCCATCAGAGTTTTGAGATGAGTGAATGGTCAGCCACAGCATAAATAACTCATGGTGGAGTTGATTGTCTGGGAGTTGATTTTCTGGGAGTTGATTATATGGAGGGAAGACAGAAATGTTGTGGCTTATTTTGAGATCTAGCAAGAAAGCTTTAGGTCTGCTCAGGGAAAGAAGGGCTTCATCCCTAGGAGTGAAACTGACCTGAGAAGATACAGGAGCTAGTCATTATCCCTTCACTGACCTCAGGGTCTACAGGCTAAGTTCCTTTCAACAACCTGTGGGCAAGCAACCAGGACCTGCTAACCCCAACTGCTAGTCATGAACTTGGTAGGAATGAACGTTTCTGTAGGAGCTTGTGAAACACACCAGTAGTTTGCTGTTGGCTTCCCAGTGTATCCATCACTCTGTCAGCAGTCATGTGCCTGTGCTTCCGGAATGACAGTCACTGATTCAAGCTTTCAGTCACGTGAGGCAAAGTCAGGACCAAGGTCGAGACACTCCCCAAAGGACAGGAATTGCTGGGGCAGGCAGGATTTGTGCTGGGAAAGCCATAGGGGGAGGTGAGCTCCTGGACACACATGACAATATTGTGACATATCTACAGGCTTCACAGTGAGTGCGGCCCAGGTTGAATGTACAAATTGGTTATCAATGCCATAATCAGGGCTTCATTAAGAGATACAGGAATTTGCCCTGTGCTTATGAGTAGCATGGGGTTGTGAGGAGCATGGGAAAAAGGTTTTAAAATGTCATGGTTTCCCTTCTTGCCCTCACTTGCTTTCTCCCAGCTCTATTGGAAAGGGATAGAATGAGTAAGCCATTCTTTCATGAGTATTAAAGTCAGGGAAGACTTGGATCCTCTCCTGGCTGGGCTGTGATAAGCGACATGAACTTGGGTGAAATGCCAAAGGTTTTCTGAACGATTTTACTCATCTGTAAGATACAACACAAATGCCCAACTCTGAATTTATTACTAAACAATAAAATAGATGTAAAATACATATCAGAAATCTGGCATTCAGAAATCTACTGTTTATCATTCCAGGGTTTGTGATGATGCCAGGAGATAACATTAGGATCTGTGCTGGGACCAGTTTCCTTTGAGATGTTGTGTCGAGTATCATAAAGGCATGAAAGCCTAAAAATATGCTTCCCTGGCCAAATGTCCTTTCCTCTCTTTGCTAATGACAAGCCAGAGGAGGTTGACCTTAGTAGCCATGGATAGCAACATGCCATAGATGCTCCGTCGAGCCCCTGCCCAGTGCATAGGTCTGCCACGATCTGACTGAGGGGAGGGTGAGGAAGTTAGGAGGGGGCATGGCATGAATGACCAGGGAGGGTGAAGTGCCTATTGCACGGGGTAATGCTTTTGTCAGGGTGGGGAGAGGGAGTAGTGCCCCAGGTACCCATTCTTTTGAGTAATAATGATGTCATCATGACAGCCCTGTTAAAATTCCCTGGTGGCAAATACTGGGTTTCTATTCATCATCTTCATCAGATTCCCAGTTCTGATTGGGGCACGTTCTCTAATGATCTGGCCAAAACGTCCCCAGGGGCTAGCACGGTGACTGCTAATGTTTGGAACTGCCACACATTGCTTTTTAAAAACTTTTTCTAATTAGGAAAGCAATTTCTTTTTTTATTAAAAAATTTGCATACCTGCTTCTCTCTACATCTGCTAAAATGTTAAAGGTATTTGGTATTTTTTTTTTTTTAACAAATTAGAATGTGCTTGGTTGGAGATTTTATGTTGTCATTGTTGACTGTTAGGGAGATGTGGAATTTCCTTAGAATGTTATAAAGTCAGTGTGGGTAATCTTATTACCAGGGATGCTTATGAAGAAGTGGGAGAGTAAGACAGAAAGATGATGATCACAGTAATTGTGAGGAAGCTGGAAGGAGCTATTTAGTGCAGTGCCTGGAGGGGAGAGACATCTCGCTGCTTCCTGTGTTTATAAGGGGCAGCTGAATGGTGAACAGGACTTTAATCCTGTGGGGCATTAGTGAGCCACCTGCCCTTCTAGTATTACATCCTTCTGATTTGACTACATTAGTTGGGTCCCAAAGCCTGTTCCTGGATCCAGCCGCCTTTTTCTTCCTAGGACAGAAGCTGCTTGAATCCTCAGGCCCAGATGCTCTGGAATGGAGCTCATCATTTTTGCATCTCACTGCAGGGGACCTCATTTTTCATAAATCTCATGTATATAAAAGGCACCACCCCGTAGTTTTCTTAGGCACGGATAGCACCCCTTTTAATATTTCTAACTCCAACAGAGACCATAAATTGGTATTCTGATTGAGGTGGGGATGGTGAGAAGAATGAAGGAATGCAAGAGACTTACTTTTATAAATATGGAAACTACCACCAATCCATTTGGACTCTTCGCAGCTTCTGTGACATTTGTATATAGCTCATGGTTATAGTGGATGAGCTGCACCTGGCAGGAGGGAAAAACAAGAATCAGAACAATAATCCAACATTAAAAGGTAGGAGGCATAGCACTTGCCCCTACATAAGGGTAAACTGCAAAGTATATTGAGGAACAATTTGGAAGACAATCTTAATTGAAGGGATTTCAGAGGGATATGTGTTCGCGTGTGTGTAAAATGCATGCACACACACAAAAATACCCACACATATTTGCAAATGTTTTCTGGTAACAAGCATGCTTTTAATAAGCTCAGAGCCCATCTGGCTCTGGCTCCATCCCAGGACATTTCCCCTAAAGCACGTGTAAAGTGAATTTTCCTTGTTAGGAATGGAACTGCCCTGTAGGGGTGGACGTTGTGTCCCTGCTGCACCAACAGCTGCCACTGGCAGCCAGTAAATCTTCCTCGCAGCCTGGGGGCAAACAGGGAACTGTTAGGTCCTGAGTCAGTCATGACCTGGGATGAAACTGGCTAGCCTGCAAGATGCAGTAGTAGCTGATGGATCAGGCTTCTGATGCATCAGCCTGCTCCGGTCATCTGGTTGTGCAGGACTCTATTTCCTCCTCATTCAACAAGGATCAGTCCACCTGTTGAGCCTTTTTCCTGTTACTTATTTTTTTTTAAATTCATTTTTAAAAATTGTGCATAAGCATACATACATGTTCAAACAGATGTTTCAGCAATTTTAAGCCACATGATAATGTTACCCCACATCACTGGGATCAATTGTTTCCTCTGAAAAATGCGTAAGATGATCTCTCCTTAAAATTCATCTCAGGGCTGTGATTTTAAAATAGTTTTTTCTTAACAGTATGGAAGCATAATTTTTTTTTTTTGAGTTGGAGTCTCGCTCTGTCACCCAGGCTGGAGTGCAGTGGCATGATCTCGGCTCACTTCAACCTCTGCCTCCCAGGTTCAAGTGATTCTCCTGCCTCAGCCTCCAGTGTAGCTGGGACTACAGGTGCATGTCACCATGTCAGGCTAATTTTTTGTGTTTTTAGTAGAGACGGGGTTTCACCGTGTTAGCGAGGATGGTCTTGATCTCCTGACCTCGTGATCCATCTGCTTTGGCCTCCCAAAGTGCTGGGATTACAGGTGTGAGCCACTGCGCCCAGCCGGAAGCATAATTTTTTAACAAATTAAAATATAGAAGTAAAAAAAGTGATGCCCCCCTACCACCTCTTTCTAATTCTAGTCCACACCATACATACAACTATTAACAGTTTAGTGTACATCCTTGTGGTTACTTGTTTTGTGCTTATAAATCACACAAACACACATAGGGTATAAAAAACAATAAATTCCCTAGTCCACAGTAAGTGTTAAAAAATAGAAAGGGACGATTCATAATTATGATTCTGAACTTGATTTTTTAAAATTTAAAAGTAGTTTGTAGCTATCTCTCTAAGTCAATGCATATAGATCTCCCCAAGTCTTCCTAATAACTATAGAATTCTCAGTTGCACAAACGCCCATAACATATTTAGACATCTTCTCACTGGCTTTTGGGTTGTTTCCATTTTTTTTTTTTGTCTCTTATAAACAATGGCACAGCAAGCACATCATATATCTTTCTGTAATGGTGTTAGCATTTTCCACAGGCTGATTTGAAAATCCAATAAGGTGGTGCACATAGAAGTGATTTGTGACTCTGAAAGTGTAGGAGAGTACTCATTATTGCCAATCTCTTGTATTACATTAAAAAAGGTGAAGTTTTGGAAGTTGAGAAATGTGATGATCAAAAAAGATGCTTTTCCTTGAACTTTGAGAAAAATAAACCATATCTAACCCAGTGGTTTGTGACCTTCACTGTGCATCCAGATCGCCTGGGTGCTTTTAAAGCCCACCTGTGCCTGTCTATGCCTTCTCACATTCTGATTTAATTGATGTAGGGTGATACTTGTATTCATCAAAAGCTTACCAGCTAGAGGGAGGTTGGACTTGAGAACAAGTGGAACATAATCAATGAGCATTAATATCCCATCGGTGCCTAATCAGATGGACAGTACCTTGAATCTGAGAATATCCTGAGCTTCCTGAGCAGTAGTGGAACTTCTCATGAAGAGAGCACGTATTACTGTTGCTCTTGAAATATCCTATTTGCTTTTTGCTTTTTCACCTATGAGTTTTGCCAATGGAGATGGATGATTCTACAGTAGCTACTCTGCCATCAGAAAGGCAACCGCAGGCAGGGGTTGCTCTGCCTCTGTAGGACTTTTAATACCCCCTCCCTTGTACCCCCGCACAACGAGGACTTTCTGCAGGGGGAGAAATGTTGCCAGGTGGAAGAATCAGGGACTGGGGGGTTCTCACACACACAGCACACCTCCCTTCCAGTGCTGAGTAAGCTTCTAATGAGAACAAAACACACCCTGCCATCTGCTAAGTTCTTCCCACTGATACAGGTGACCGACAAAACCGCCAGGGAATGTGCCAGTGCTTCCAGACATGCCTTGATGTTACAGCATGTTCTGAACACCAGAGCAGGGATGTGAAAGGCAATCCAGTGGAGTGATCCTTCTGTCCAGCTTGCAAGCCAGAAAAAGGCAGGAAGAAGTCTCCTGGGCCATGGGTTGCCCCATAGGGTGGGATTCTTTCGGGAGCCAGACACTGTAAGAAAGGAGCTGGCAAGTACAGGGCTGAGGCTGTGCTGTGCTTTAAGCTTAAGTTAACACATTTAAAACTTTGATCTGAAGTCGTGCCTCCTGTCTGTTCCAAGGTGAGTTGGCTAGGATTCTGATATCAGGAGCTTTGGTTTCTATTAGCAGTTGTTGATGGACTGTCTATTGTGTTAGGTTGAACCGTATGAAATTGATCTTTTGCTTTACAAAACTGGTGAATTTATAGTTAATACCTTCTAGAAATAAAGCTATTTTGAATATGAGTTTTGAGCATTTTCTTTCTGACCCCCAGTCAGATGTTAATAAGATGACAGAGCTTGGCTATTCAGTGTGTGCTCTAGGGATGAGCAGCAGCCGCAGCATCTAGGAGCTTGTTAGAAATGCACAATCGGGAGCTCCATCCCAGGTCTTCTGAATCAAGATCTGCATTTTCTCAAATTCCTAGTGATTTGGATGCACGCTAAAGTTTCGGAAGTGCTGCTATAGCCGATACTGTTGACTGATGAGCAGAGTCCTGTTTTGTCTGGCAGTTTACCCCTTCTCTACTTCAGTTTGGGTGGGTTAAGGAGCACATGCATCACCTATGTCGGAAAACAGGCTGAGTCCGGATCATAGGACCCCTGGAATGTCAACAATAGATAGGTTTGAGCAGGGGAATGAGATAATCAGCATGGACTGTAAGAGAGCAGATTGGAACCAGGAGAAAATAGAGGTGGGAGTTTGGGGGGTGTTTAACTTCAGGTGATGGCTATTAAGGCAGACATGTGCTCTATAGGCCTTTGCAGTTTATAGAATGTGTATGTTTGTGTGCTGAAGAGGCACCAGGAGGTTCCCCAGGCAACAGAACATCTAGGAGCAACAGAAGAGCTCAGGAGAGAGCTTGACAGTCACCAGGCTTTTTGTTCTCAGCTGTAAGAACACAGTTTGGGCATCAAGGATAACCTGGGACCTGTACCAGGTCATGTACCAACAGCAGGGCTTAACCATGAAAAAGTGCTGCTTCCTTTCTACTGCCTTCCAGGTCTTTGTTGGTGGTGATCACAGCTCCTGCAGCTGTTGCCTTTGCTCTTCCCTAGTCAGGCACAAGAATGCCAACCCAATATCCACTAACCACTCACAGCATGCATGGGTCCAGGTGGGTCTGGAGAAAAGCGGGGTTCACTGCTTTCCTACCATGAATTTGGGCTTGGGGAGCAGCAATGTGCAAATCACATCCTGCTAGGGACAGAGTATCAGATTGGCAGATGAGTTCTGAAAGTGATGCCTGTGGATTTCTTTTTGCCGTTTATAGGTAACACTTTTAAATCTCAACCATTTAAAGTCTGAATTTTTGAATAACTTAGATGGGCCCTAAGCTATACCTTAACTGAGCCCCAATTTTAAGGCTTATGCACAGTAATCAGAGTGTCTGATGTGAAACAGATGATCAATAAGTGATTGTTCAACTGTCTGAGCAAGTGCATGATTTGACTAAGATTGCAGGGACAATGAGAGCAAACTCTTTGGGGGCTGATGATGACATGCTAATTAAACACCAAATTCAAGAATCTAAGACATTCATTAAAGAGATGCCTTGAGGACTTCTGCTAGTTTAGTTGGAATTACCATGGGAAAGGGCTAAACCTGGATTCCTGGAAATTATTTTATAATCTTGATTTTTTAAATTAGTTTTAGGCGAGTATCCTCCTAGAGAAGCTTCCTGGAAATGCAAGACTGAGATATGACAGGCAGTCTTCCAGGGAGAATATTACCAGTCTTGTCATGATGCTCCCACATGACAGGTGCCATGATCCAGTGCATTCTCTATATCTAAGTCCTTCATGATCTGATGTGACTTGTCCTTGTCTTCTCATCTCAGAAAGGCCACCTCACCTCAATCCTTTACGTGGACCTGGAATTCATTTGTTCAAAACATCTTTAAGGGCCAGCTATGTGCTAAGGTCAATTGGAATAAGACTGAGAAGGTCTTTGTCCTCTTAGAGATAGTTTCAGATGGTGGCAAAGATAGCTTTGAAGGAAACAAAACAAGATTTTGACTTACAAAGTGAAAGGCAATATTGGAAAGAATGGGGGCAGGGATGCAGAAGTGGGAGCAACATTCTGTAGTATGGTTGGTGAAAACCTTTGGGTAGGCTAACATTTGAGCCAAATTCTGATGACGAGGACTCAGGTATGGGAAGATCAGAGGGAGGCATATCACTTGTAGAGAGCATGGCCAATGCAAAGAGCCGGAGATAGGGACAAGCAGCTAGGAATGGCTGGGAAAGGATGAAGGTGGCTCAAGATGGGATCAGTTCATGCAAGGCTTTGTAGATCATGGTGAGGAGCTTTGATTTTATTCCGAATACAATAGGAAGTAACAGGTGTTAAAGAAGAAACCAATTGAT